ATTATCCCTCATTATTCCTGGACAATATTTGATAACCATTCCTTTCTATATAGTCTTGTATTAGTTTAGAACCTTCTTATTTAGACAAAAAGGGGGAGATGTAGTAGGTAGCCATTCCAGCTTGGATCTGGGAGTTCCAACCCCCATTGAGACTCTGGCAACTGTCACACCTACGAGGCGGGGCCAGGGGAGGCGTCTGGAGACCTGAGAGCTGGATGGGCCAGCGCTCTCTCTGTGTGCTCTCTGTGCTGGGACCCTGAACGGTGGATGTGGACTGAGCAGAGCTCCAGAGAACACCGCTAGACTGCAATATACCTTCCCCAGACCCTGCGACCTACCTATCCCTTAATTTTTGAGTTACGCCATTAAATAAATATCCTTTTAACTACGTGGAGTGGCCTTAATAATTTCACCAGTACTGGTATTTTTACATCTTGCTTCTCCTGGTGGCAGCTGGCAGTGTCTCCTCTGTTCTGCCTTTCTCCTTCTTCCTCTCTAGTTAGAATGTCCCGCCTAACCCTGTTCTGCCTCACCATTGCCCAAACAGCTTTATTAATCAATCAGTCAGAGCAACACATATTCACAACATATAGAATGACATCACCCATCACGAGGGAAGGGAGAAAGATTGACTTAAAACTCAACTTTTACCCAAGGATTAGTCCAAATGGATAACTGACTCAAATGTAAACCTGAAATTTAAATATTTTGGAAAAAGAAATAGGAGATAATAGAAAAGTCTCAAGATTTGGAATTAAGTAAAGTTTTCAGATTGCACACCATGAAGGAATTAAGGGACATAGGTACCTTCAACTTGGTTTCAACATTACATACTCTAGGAGTATTTGACACATCACTTAATAACACATCAATGTATATGCTTACTAGTTGAATACAAAAGAAAATAGCTATGGCCTTTTTTAATATAAGAAAAGCATGAGCCACAAATGAAAAAAAACATGAATGCATTCTACTCCATCCAAATCTAAAGCTTTTATGAATACATTTGGGGCAAATCTTATGTGTTTGAGATTTTCTGGTCACCCCCTCCCATAGTCTCAGCATCTAACCTGGTTCTAGACATACAAATAGGCACTGGATAAATATTTTGAATGACTATATAAAGATGT